GTATATGTATACATGGATGTGTATGTGTGTGTGCATGTATGTATAAGTATATGAGAATTTGTATATATATGTGTATGTGTGTGTATATATATATATATATATATATATATGTGTGTGTGTATGTGTGTACATGGGTATATATATTTGTGTATATGGGTACACACCTGTATGTATGTATGTATGTATGTATATGTTATTGTGTATGTGTGTATACGCATGTGTTTTTGAACATAAAAATATAGGTCCTTGCTAGATTAGATAATTGTTATATTTATTTTTTATATGTTTATATTTGATTTGTAACCTGTAGTCGATATTAATTTTGTCAAATTTTCTTGATTACACAGCGGCCCTTTTATAAATGCCCTTCATTTTTAGTTATCCATCCCCATCTCTCTCCCCCCCTTTTTCTTTTCTTTTCCTCTCCTCTCTCATCTTCTGATTTTTAAGATTAAATCGTCTATTGTGTGTGTATGTCACCACAAAATGTATCCTTTCCAGTTACATTTTTTAATGTATTATACATCCAACAACATTCATATTTCTCTCACTTAAACCGTCTTTGACTCCACTTTTAAAACTTCTCTCTGTTAAATTTTAATCCCCCTTCATCCCTTCCTGTTCTTCTCTCGTCTGTTACCCTCCCTATAGCTTTCTATTTACTCTAACATTCGTCCCACACTCTCATACATACACTCTCTAAATTTTATTTTTTATTTCCAGGAGTTGTTTTTTGTTTTTTTTTTTTTGAATTTGTAGGTCTGATGAATTAGATTGTATTTATTTTGCCAATGGAATAAATTATGACCATGGAATATTAGTGTTTAAGTGTTTTTTTTTTATTATATATATATATATATATATATATATATTCTAATGGACTCTCCCTCTCGGTTTCGACGTATGAAATATGCCATATTATTGATTCATCTATGAAAGTTTATTTAAAATCTTAATTATAATTTAAGAATTCATGAATGATTTACAAAAAAAGCCATATATGGGTAGGTGTGATTTAAATGGTGAGATCACTATTAGATTATTGACCTTTTACATATATATAAAAGAAACAGACAACTTTACAGTTTCTTAACCCTAGAAAACTAACCATCAATTAAAGTTATACCACTACTAACCATGATTATATCATTCCCGATTTTGAAAATATCAAAAATAATATTAAATATAAATCTTTATTTGAAATATTTTGCATGCAGGCACTTCAAACTTTGTACTTTTTTTAGTTAACATTAATAGGAACTAAAAAACATATTATTTAGGTAAGAAAATCAGGTACTGAAAATTGTAATTAAAAAAAGCCTAAATTTGTGCTGGGTACTATATACGCATGGTTAGTGGTCTAAAGTTAATATAATTAATATTTGATCTGTTTTCACATTGAGCTCTCTGGATAATATCCCCACCCCTGGAATTATCCGTACGGATTTAATGGAGCAAATGGATTATCTTTATGTTAACGGTTGGATGTATAAGTTCGATCGGATTTCCTATGGCAGAAAGGAGATTTGTAGCAACAGTTTCACATGGTTGATGTTGGCCTGTATCAGGGATGTTTTCAACAGATCCTTGATGCGTTGTTTTGGGCATCCGCGTAGCCTTTCTGTCCCTGGCGTTTTCTCCAAATAGGATGATTGATAACTGAAAGTCGCGTGGGACGCATTCCGGGCCGTGATACAGAAGGGGCTTCTGTACGCTTGGGGGACGTGGACATTGGATCGTCGGGACATCAAACATCAGGAGCGGTTCCAAACGAAGTTCCGAAGAATCCTTTGCATTAGTTGGGAAGACCGCATCCCCAACAACGAAGTTATCTCGCCCTTCACTCCCTAGAATCGAGGCTACCATCCTTCACCATCGCCTCACGTGTCCAGAATACACCTCATGTATATATATATATATATTGTATATATATATATAAAAAGAGGTTATAGTGGTTCCAACGAGAGAAATGTGTGTATATTAAAAAAGAAGAGAAGAGAGGTATTACAAAACGTTTTTTAGTTGTAATGTGGATTTTAAAAAAAAAATATTATGGTTTATTTTGCCTATATATATATATATATATATATATATATATATATATATATATATATATATATATATATATATTTGACTATTGAAAAATATATATATATATTTCAAGAGTCATAGACATATTTACTGGCCTGAACATACGAGAAATCATATTAGAAAAAGATACGCGCTTTCAACAGGATTCAAACATGCGTCCCTTTAGGGCAGGGGTTCTCAAACATCCAGCGAACCGCATAGGTGTGGTCCAAGAGGATAACATCAACTAGAATGATTGAAAGATAATCAAAGATTTAGAAGCGGTTTAAAAAATTCACCTGCCAATAAATAAATATGATTTCAAAATTTTAAATATTATTATGAATTAATTGAGTCCAAATATAAATAGTTAAGGTAAAATTGTTGATCGATTTTATCATTGTGATATTTTTGCATTATATCAAGTATTTAGTTTATATAGTAATCTAGGATCCGCATAATTGGAGGAGAGATATATCAATGATAATATTCTTATTTCAAATCCACTTTTTATCCCTGTAACCCCTCCTTGGACCTTCTTTTTCAGAGGGCTGCTTGAGTGGCTTTCACTGGAACTTCGCTTTGGTGAGGAATGAGCAAGTTTTCATCCCGAAAATGCAAGAAAAAGAGAAAAAAATTTTTGGGATCACTGCCCTATTATTAAAGTTTTCATAATAAAAAAAAAAAACACCCTTTCTTCAAACTGTTGCTCTAGATTATTTACTTTTGTCATGAACTTGATATATATATATATATATATATATATTCAAGAAATATAGTCTTAAGATGTTCTATATTTATGGGATAAAGTGCTTCAATATCAGAGACAGAGAATGTGTAAATATTAAATTAAAATAGGTTTTTCTTCAATCTGTTTCATGCTACATGCAATCGTCAGGTGGCCTGATGATTGCATCTTTGGTCCTGAAACAGATCTTCAACAATGATGTTTCTGATGTCATCAGTTCACACACACACACACACACACACACACACACATTTATATATATATATATATATATATATATATATATGCTATAAAATATATATATACGTAGGATGGTATAAAAATACCTATTTCATTTCAATGGTTCTGGGCAGGAAAAACCAAGTGAAAAAAATTCTAAACATACGTCCGAAAATGAAATTCAATTTTGAGTTATTAAGTTTAAAGAAAGTTTACAGTAGATGATGCTGTATTGTCATGCAAACTAGGTTAAATTCTTGCACATTTTGGTCTAGTCTTCAACGTTTAACGTGTGTAGTAGTCATTAACTAAGAGGTGTTCCGTTTAACAATAGTAGGATATTTCTATTGTGAGAGCCAGCAGATACGTTTCTTTGATCCATCTACATCTAAATGGTAATGGATGCGAGGAATGCACGGCTGTGTCATATTTCGTTTCCAGACCAAAGGCAGCCGATCATCCAACCTTTGTACTATTTATCATTTGCAAGCTGTGCAGAATCTTTCGGCCTCTGATCACTCACCATGGGAGAACATTTGCCGATAGTTTTTTACATAAACTGCCAATTTTGTTTGTCTTGTTTACAGATGAGACAACATTTGAAAGGATGGAATAACAAATTTATTTAAGCAAAATTGTGGGCGGATCGGAATTCCCATGGTACAATTACAGGCCAGACACCAGCATCAATTTACGATTAATGTGTCGACTAGAATTGTATATGAATGTCTCGTAGATTCATATATTCTCTCAGCACGTCTTACAGAAGCTGTCTACAGGAACTTTATTTCGAAACTATAATTCTTTAAAATTTAATGATGTAATGCTAATACGAAGACGCATCTGGTTCATGCATGTTGGTGCCCCGGCCCATTTTAGTTTTTTTTGTTTGCAATGCACTGACTGGCATCTACCATGAATGATGTTTAGGTAATGGAAGGGCAGTTCCATGGCCTGAACCTTTCCCCGACAACAATCCTTTGGATTTTTTGTTATGGAGCCACCTAAAACAAATTGGTTTATGCAGCAAATTTTAAAAATTTAGAGACGTTCAACGTCTCATATATGCCTGCAAAACCATTCGATTCAAACAATTTTTTTTTATTTGAAAGGGTTCGCTAGTCAATGATCTGGCGATATGCGTTTCAATTACATTTTGAACATTTGATATGAGTTGAGATATAAAATGGCCTTTTGGACATATTTTTATCTGGACAAATTTATCTTGTTTTGGTGTCAAAAACTCGCCTAATGAAAACTTGTAAAAGTATTTTAAAACCCTGTGTATTGCATGTACAGGCAACTGTTGCTTTTGAAGAGATCCTTTGCATATTTTATATTCCCCCAAATGGCCTTTATTGTTGAGCTTTTCAGAGAGAGAGAGAGAGAGAGAGAGATGAACACTGTTGATCATCTGTTTGGACAAGGTCAGCCCTGCAGGTAAACCTCGGTCTCGATGAATTTGACCTGGTGCTGACCAGCCATCAACAAAACAATTCATTTAAACAATTTTTCCCACAAGAATTGGGTCAAAAAAGGCTATAGTTTTACGGCACTTTACGTCACAACCTGACATCGTCTTTATTTTTTTTATATAACAACAAGTAGTTACCCTCTTGATCATGATGGGACATGAACCCAAGCCATGGTAAAAAACAAACATTCTTACCACTGACCAGTTGAAATAATAGAAAACAAAGGAGTTTCATTTATGTTGACGCATTTGTTTATGTTTTAAAAAAATACATTTATTCGTACGTATTCGTTCAGCGTATTGATGTCAGTGGTAAACAGTGAAAGAGAAATCACTTTAACTGGCTTCGATCTCGGCTGTCCAGTCAGTAATTGATTTCATTCTTCCACCAGGTTATTGATTTCGATCTGTCAATGTCCACAAATCACATAATATATATTTTCTATATATATTTCCCGCCAAACTTAGACACATGACCTCCTCGAATCAATGGATTTGAGAAATATCTGTCTTTTCGCCTGCTACTTTTTTTTACATCTTGACAAACATTTTTTTATTGTTTACCTACTCTTGGTCAATTAGATAGCATCTATTGATCTATCTATCTATCTATCTATCTATCTATCTATCTATGCCAGTTTGTTCATATTTAATTTATGTCTATTTCTTTTTTTATTGTTTATTATATTCTTGGTCAATTAGATAAATCATCTTTGGTCTATCTATCTATCTATCTATCTATCTATCTATCTATCTATCTATCTATCTATGCCATAATATATTTAATATATATATATATATATCTATCTATCTATATCTATCTATCTATCTATCTATCTATCAGTGAATTCTTTATATATTTATTTGTCGCTCTAAGTTAGTATCCCTGTCTGTTTATCGCTCAGTTCTATATATATGTGTGTGTTAAAATGTTGTACACACACACAATATCCCACACATACATACATATATATATATATATATATATATATATTGAAAAGTTCAATATATATATATATATATATATATATATATATATATATATACTACTCATTTATCGTTCATGATAAATGAGGGTCAGCATTGGTTAGTGCTTTTCGTTTTTCACTTATGCATGCTAGCAGGGGCTATTGTGGAGAAAATCAGGTAAGGGAAAGACATATTTTATTTCTGCTTTCTTGCATGTTACTAGCTCAGCCTTGCTGCAGGCAACAAAGCCACACTGACAGATGAAATTTGTTGAAGCAGGATTTTGATAGCATCTTTGCTTCAGAGCTTGATGAAGCTGATCACGGTGCTTCAGTTCAAAACCCTTTAACTTAATGAAAAATGTCTTACACCACTCCTTTCAGTTTGATGCTTGGACTTCCTAGGTTTCCAGATCAAAGTTGACATGTTTCAAGTTGTCTTTCAATTTGTCTTTGTAGCATAAGTGTGGATGTCCAACTGAACCCTTGTTGTTTGGTAGTTGTCCCTACAGCACCTTTTTTGGAAGCCTATGCTCATCCATTCTCACAACATGACCAACCCACCTAAGTTGTATCTTTACTAGTATGGTTTCACTGCCTGTGATGATGTTACATTCTTTAGTATTGCACTATTCTTGACCGTCATCCTATTTTATATCACGAGTTTTTTCTGAAGATGAAATTATTCATGCATTGGAACAACACAAAGGAAAAACTGGTTCTATTCTGGAAGAGTTATTTGCACCAAGGTTAGCAGAATTTCATGAGAGAATCTGGCAACCAGGAGAGGAAGAAAAGAATGAATCATCCCTTCCACAGCCGCTTATAGATTTATTGATGAACAAGGATGAAGATCCAGAGGCATGTAGCAATGTTTTCTTTCTTTCTTTTTTTTTTCAAATCATTTTTATTTTAAAAAATGTCTTCTTTTTTTTTTTTAACTTTCAGTACATCTCAGGAACAGTGCTATTTATGTGTACATTATTTCCTCTTAGAAATCTCATAAAGTGTTATCTCAGATTTCTCAGGATTTTGAGATATATATAAAACTGGAACTTTATTTTGAAACAAAATAATAAATGTATTGAGAATAAAGGATCGTATTATACAAGAGAAATTATACAATAGTAGAGAAATTGTTCAGCACTATAAAATGTATTTGCATTTTAATTTTTAAAAATGATTAAAATTCCTATTTTTTCTTCCTTTAATAATTTTGATTATTCTTTTGCTTTGAGAAAATATTACTATTTTGATTCTTAAAAGATTTGCTGCAAAGCTATTTTGAACTTGTTACATGATGTAAAATCTAAATACCAATTAACATGACACATTAAATAATTTTTTTTATATTAAATTTCATTTAAATATGTTAATAACATTTGGATCATTACCTGTTATAGATATTTACTTTGTTAGTTATGAAAATTTAGTATGATACAAAGTCAAAAATATTGAACACTGGAAATGCAATAGTATGAAAAAAATTTATATCACATTTCACATTACTAAAATTATCATAGTTAATGATATTGCAGTATTTATAAAATATATTGATAATGTTAAGGAAGTACTCATCTATACCAGATAAACTAGCAAAAACTGCACTTTTATATGCATTAGCAACAGTAATAACAATACTATCAAATGTGATTATGCACTAACATTTAATGTGTGACCATGATAGGTAAGTTTATCTAGTATATGTTGCAAATAAGAAAAACAGTAATCAAAAAATATGTTTTCAAATTTTATTCTATCCTCTTCAGTAGATTTTGCAGCACTTGTATTGTCTGACTAGCTCACATCTTTGTTTAATTCAGATTGAACTCTAAGAGTATTGGCCTATTTATTTTTTTCTGGTTTAAGCAGTGACCTGCAAGAGGTAACAATGTTCCCACAGGCACTGAACACACTTTGAGATGTCATGCTGGTTGTAGGGATGCACAAAAGCTTCCTAGCATGGTGAGGAAGTTGCAATGCATGGCCCCTCCACCACTGAAGTGGATCTTCTGTAGGAATGAGGGTAATGACAGGAGGACCTTGATCTCTTCTTTCACTATATCTGTAATTCTAGGAATCTGTGTCCGGTCCTCTTCAACTTTTCTTACATTTTGAGGTAATCTTTCTCAGCAACACAATCAGGACTTTCATTTTTGATGCCTCTTTGGGGGTGATGTTAGTTGCTGATAGAGCTTTCTGATTCTTCCTTTACTTTAGCAGGTGCCATCTTTAAGGCCTCTTGGACATGACTGTCAATTGTTGCAGTAGTTTCAGGATCATCTTTCTAAAACATGGTCATTGAAGCAAGCTGTAGACATGACACTCTGCCTTCTTTGTGTACCTGTTTTTAAGGTCTTCCTTATCATTTTCATTTCCTTGATCAGGTATAGCTCTCTACTTTTTCCACCAAAACATCATGAGTAATGTGGTCCAGGACAGGCAAGATGGTGAACAATATAACTTGTGTCATTGAGGCAGTAAACTTGCTCAGAGGTTCAAGGAATTGACTCATTGACTTTCTTAAAAGGATAGAAAAAAAATTAAAGGAACATGTTTAAAGCCATCCATTCAATAAAAATAAACATTAAGGAAAGTAATCAGTTTTAACTGAGTTTTTCATTTCACCAATTTCACCAGTGGTTAATCCACTTGAACAAAACTGATGAAGAAGGCAGATACTACAGAAATTTCTCTATCACCTACAAACTAACACATCAAAGAACCAATCTGTATTCCTGATGCAACAGGCAAACCTCCATTACCCTTAAAAATGTGTTGCTGAAGTTTTATCACCTCTGAGCACTTCATATAATTTACTAGTCAGTGTCAAAGTTGACGCCAAATCAAAGGTATCCCTTAATGTACTATCCATAGAACAATTTTTCAGTACATGAAAGCTGACTGGGGCAGCTTCAGACCTTCTATGGTAGAATCTCCTCTCTCAGCCTTCCTCAAACATACTGCCTCCAAAACTGCTGCCATTGTTTTGGAATGGATCCTTTCTGGAATGGAGAGTTTTTAATACCCAGTAAAAAATGCTAGCCCTGGTTCGCTCCTGAATGTGTTGCAACCATAGTTCACTGAAAGTGCTACTACAATATCTATCACACTCAATAGTGTAGTGGGACACTTGATGCATCAATCATTGCAAGAAAGTTCTAGAAAATGCATAGTGTATCTATGCATAAACAATCTCGGGAATTTAGATCTTCAACCAAATTCTGAATAGAGGCAAAGTGTCAATGCCTACTATTATAAAATACTATTATAAATGGCCCCAAGGTTATCTCATCCTCTTCAGATATAGCAAACCCCATCACCACAATCTTTGCCTCTAACTCAATGTTAGATGAAAATGGCCATTCCCTACTTGACTTCCTCCGTTTCACTGAGCACAATCTCATTATTTTTATTATAGCCCAGGAAATCCCAAGACTTATCCAAAGTCTTCACCTGAAGAAGGCTACTGGTTCAGATAAAATCCTTAAGACTATTAACCCAGAGTTATTCCTGATCCAAGCAGAATTATTGAAAGAGTACACTCCAATCATTTGTGACTGTCTATGCTGATGATACAACAGTTTATGGGTGCACCTCCAAAACTGCAGTTGATCTCTGCTTTGACCTAGTCCTAACATCACAGTGGAGGAAAAACTAGCTCATCACATTCACTGCCTCAAAAACCAAACTAGTAATGTTCCATCATCACTAAGCAGACCCAGAACTTTCACTAATCGCAATGAATGGGTGTTCTCTCATGAAAGCTCCATGCCTTGAGCACCTATTGAGACTTAAACTCAACCCAAGCCTAAAGTGAAACTCATACATACTATCCATCACTAAAGATGCTGGAAAAATGGTCTTTCCCTGTACTGCTCCAGTGAATACTTGACTCCTCCTGCTATCCTCTACCTTTACAAGAGCCAGATCAGGCTGAAAATGGATTACTGCTGCCATATATGGGTAGGAGCTACCCAGTCTTCACTTTCTAGTTTTGATAGAGTTCACAAGTGTTTCCATGTCCTTGTAGGTGACAAATTATTTTCCACCCTACAATCCCTTTCTCACAGATGAAACATCACTATTTCTAGAGAAAGGGTTCAGACAAGCCCTTAATTCCTCAATTCTTAAATTCTCAATTCCTTAATTCCCCCAGTTCTAACCTTCATGGCTAAGACCTACCATGTCATGCACATTGTCAGGAATCATACTCTTCCTTTTGCATTGCATAGATGAAATGTAAGTTTCACTTCAGCAGCTTCTTCCCACGAGCCACTACTTTGTGGAACTGCTGAGAGGATGCTTCCCTGATCACTACAATCTTAACCTGTTTAAGTCTAGGGTCAACCGTTGTTTTTCCCACATATTTCCATAAACTGTGCCTCTTACTCTGTAATCCCTAACTCGATTGGCTCCTGGGCCTTGCACAGGGTGAACTAGTAATGACAGCAATTAAATCTTACTAAGAGTTGGATGGTTTATCACAATTGATCATAAAACCACTAACTGTTGCATCTCCAGTTGGCTGATCTCACTCCAATTGCAATGGCTGGGATACTAGCTTTGCTAACTTAGCTATATACTGAAGAGTTACCACCTCAACCGAGCGGGTTCTATTTATACTCGCACGGACATCACATCTGCTCCTTCCTTTGTATTCACATTGTTTCCCTCTTCTTTTGAACTGATGCCTGCATACCTTCTGGGTTTTCTTATATGGCGTTTTGGTCGTCTTAGGGCTATAGGGATATCTGCTTCTTCCTTCTCCTCCTTCTCACTTTCTCTCTCATGTTCTATATCTTTCTGCCCCCCCAAGGTCGTTGTTAAAAGGGAAGTCGTCATCCCTTGGTTCTTGGTGAGTCCTGTCTTCAGGGATTCTTTTCATTTGTGATGTGTGTTGTAAAATAAGTTTGTCACCTCGCGTTATAATTGCAGATTCGCCTCTGCAATATTCGCGACTTGCAATATTCATTTATTTTTCATAAATGGATGACTAGCATATCTATTTACTCTTTATAAGTATTCTAAGATATTTAGGGTTGTAAAATCATCTTAAATGATTTGCTGAAAACTGACGAAAATATGTTCACTTCCTTGCAAAAATAGAAGCATGCATTGTACATAAGTAAATGTTGTTGATAACCTCCTATGGAAAGAGCAAAAGAAAAAAAACACTATAAATACATATATTACATTATAAACATTTTAAAGTGTGTTTGAGAAGACATCCCTGTTTCTTTTTCCTCTTACAAACAGTAAAATTAATATCTACCAGGATGTTCTTGTGGAGTCTAGTAATAATACATTCAATACTTTATTATATAAAAAGCCCATATCTTAATTCTACTAGTCAATGTCAGTGTCCTCTACTATATAAAATAGGTCCTATTAAAAATTTCCTTATGAGAGTCCATGAGAATTCATCCTCTTGTCTGTCTTTCTTTAAAGAACTTAATGGTGGGAAACAAACGCTTGTTAATAACAGTATTCCAACCCATCTTATAGATTACCCTATTAGATTTTTTCTTTCTAAAGTAACCAATAAGAACACTGAACACACAGAAAAAAACATTAACATTTTCTACAAAAATCAAATGCATAGTAAATATAATCACTTTGAAACATCATAAAGAAATACACAACTTCAGTTGACAAAAACAAAATTAAATTATTTATTATAAGAAATTTATAATGGCTAACCTCATCGTCAAAAATAATAATTCTCCTGCAATATCTAAAGAGAACCAATATTATTTATGAATTTACATGTCCGTTAAGGAACTGTGTTCCTGACCAATCCAAATTTATAAATAATTATATTAGATATACTACAACATGTTTAACAAGAAGACTGACATTATGTCTCTCTGAGCATAGCTCAATTAGGTCTCATTTAAATGCACATGGAGACCTATGAAACTCTGTCCATAACATACTTGTTGATAATACAAATATAATAGTATCATCCACATGTACAAAAAGACTAAAAATAATGGAGGCATTATTAATAAAAAAAAGAAAAAGCTTACACCCAATAATATCAACTATGAACATGGCCAAAATGTACTGACCATGTTTGGAAAATAAAATATTCCTATAACTCTAGATATATACATAAAACAATGCATATATTCAGTTAAAAGTAAAATAAAATTCATTCTCGATAATGGCTAAAAGAATAGCCAAAAGCACTTGGAAAACATTCGGACAATTTTTATATAATTTATGTTGCGAAAAGAAAAAATTATATGAACACATGAGAAATTATATAAAAAGCTCAACCACTGTACCTTATCAGTTTTTTTTACAAAACTTGTATAAAAGAGGGATTGCTGCCCAAATTGTAGGCCTCCATCGGTCAGTGTTAACCATGAGTAGCATCCAAGTTGTCTGCTTGGCTGGAGCATTGACGTCCGTGACTGTAGAGACCAGTGACGATGTCTGTTGTTGCAGGCCCGCCTTTCCATGGATATTTGTGTCAGCTTCTCCTCCCCTGACTTGAGTTGTTTGGTCAAGGTTCCTCTCCATTCGGATTGTATGGCTGCCAGGCTCTCCCAAGACTGTGTTGAGCTTTGTCTACAGCTTTCATGTGTCTCACTACATCATGGTACTGCAGCTGTGGCTGCTCGACAGGTCTCCTTCCAGCGGTCAGCTCTCCATGCAAGAGGTCTTTGGGGATGCGGCTGTCTGGCATGCAATGGACATGGCCCAACCAATGGAGTCTGTGCTGTATGAGCAGTGTGAACATGCTGGGCAAACCTGCTCAAGACAGGACCTCAGTGTTGGGCACCTTATCTTGCCACGCTATTCCCAGGATGCAGCAGATGCTTCTCATGTGAAAGGTGTTCAGACAACTTTCTTGCCTGGCGTACATGGTCCAAGCCTTGCTGCCATATAGCAGTGTGCTGATAATGCAGGTGTTGTACACTGCCATCTTGGTCTTCACCAACAGCTTGGGATTGGTCCACACACGTTTTGTGAGGTGCGCAATTGTTGTGGCTGCCTTCCTGATTCTCTTGTCAATCTCTGTGTCTAAGGAGAGGTTGTCAATGATGGTGGAGCCAAGGTACGTGAACTGATGGACCACACCAAGCTCATAGTCATCAATGGTGATGGCTGGTGGTGTTTCGGTACCTTGTCCCAGTATGTTTGTCTTTTTCAGGCTGATGGTCAGCCCAAAATCTTTGCAGGCCTAGGAGAAATGGTTCATCAGTGACTTAAGTTCACACTGGGTGTGAGTCACTATTGCTGCATCATCAACAAAAAGGACATCTCTGACAAGGGTTTCATGTACTTTGGTCGAGCTTTGAGGCAAGCAAGATTGAACAATCTGCCACCTGATCTTGTACGCAGATAAATCCTTTCTCTAGATGTGCTGAATACATGCTTCAGAAGCAACGCAAAGAAAATCTTGAATAGAGTGGGATCGAGGATGCAGCCCTGTTTGACCCCACTGCAGATGTTGAAGGGCTCAGAGGTGTTGCCATTGAACTGCACAGTCCCCCACATGTCACTGTGGAATGACTCAAGCTCTGCAGCTTGGGTGGGCTGCCAATCTTGGACAGGATTCTGAAGAGGCCTTCTCTGCTGACGAGATTGAATGCCTTGGTGAGATCAATAAAAGCGACATACAGGAACATCTGCTGTTCTCTGCACTACTCCTGGAGCTGGCAGAGGGAAAAGACTATGTCTCCTGTTGATCTTTCAGGCCGGAAACCACGCTGCGACTTTGGGTAGACACATTCGGCAAGTTTCTGCAGGCAGACCAAGATGACCCGAGCTAAGACTTTGCCCACAATGCTGAGTAGCGAGGTGCAACTGTAATTGTTGCAGTTGCTTCGCTCACCTTTCTTCTTGTAGAGGGTGACAATCTTGGCATCTCTCATGTCCTGAGGTATGGCCTCTTCTTTCCAGCACTGGTAGAGGACCTCGTGCAATGGAAGCAGTAGGGCAGTCTTGCAGTGTCTGATAATGTCAGGAGTGGCCTTCCCTGAGACCAAGCTGTCAATGGCCTTGCTAAGCTCCTCTATGGTCAGTTCAGTATTGAGGTCCTCCAAGACCGGCAGGCACTCAATAGCATCAAGGGCTGCAGTTGTCACAACATTCTGCCTGGAGTAGAGGTTAGAATAGTGTTCCACCCATCTCTCCGTCCATCTGTTGCCCTTGTCTACAATGACTTTCCCAGTGGTGGATTTGAGAGAAGCTGTCTTGTTCTGCACTGGTCCCATTGCCGTCTTGATGCTATTGTACATCCTTCTTATGTTCCCTGTAATTGCTGCTGTTTGGATTGTTTCACTAAGCTCTGTTCAGTACTCATTGGTGCAGCATCTGGCAGTTTGATGAGCTTTACTCCTGGCAGCTCGGAGGATCTGCAGGTTTCTGTTGTTAGGTGACCGCTTATATTCTGTAAGGGCGCCTCACATGGCCATGATGGCAGGAGCCATCTCAGTGGACTTTACCTCAAACCAGTCGTATGACTTTGAGGTCTTTCTCCCAAAGGTGATCAAGGCAGTCCAGAGCATGGTGTCCTGCAAGGTCGTCCACTTCTCCATGGCAGAGTCTCTGGTCCGCGAGGTTGCCCGCTCATTCTCAAACCTCTTGACAAACTGTTGCACAAGGTCTGGCTAGTTCATCTTGCTGATATCAATGCAAGGATTCCCCTGCTTCTTGCCACAGTGGAACCTTTTGGGTTGGAGCTTGATCTTGCAGCACACCAAGGATTGGTCTGTATTGCAGTCTGCGCTGTGGTAAGAACCTGTGTGAAGGACGTTCTTAATGGTGGCTCGTCTGACCAGTGTGAGATCTAGCTGGTGCCAGTGCTTTGATCATGGGTATCTCCCAGAGACCTTGTGCTGGGGCTTGGTCCTGAAGAAGGAGTTGGCTATGCACAAGTTGTGGTAAGTGCATAGATTGAGCAGTCTCTGGCCATTGTCGTTCCTCTTGCCGATGCCAAACTGTCCAAGGCACAAAGGCAAAGAATCATGATCAGCACCCACTCTGGTGTTGAAGTCGCCTAGGATAACAAGTTGTTCCTTTCTGGGGATACTGCTGATTGTGGTTGCCAGCTTGTCATAAAACTCGTCTTTGGTGTCGAGGCATACACGCTGTTGAGGGTGACAGGGCCTGGGTTGGTGTTGAGGCGGAGAGTAAGGAGTCTCTCGGAGCTGTTGCTGCCTAGTTCTACCATATTCAGCAGGATGTTCCTCACTCCAAAGCCCACTCCATGTTGGCGGTGTTCGTTAGAGCTCTTCCCTTGCCAGAAGAATGTATAGTTCTTCTCTTTCAGTGATCCAAAGTCAGCCAGACATGTTTCCTGTAGAGTGGCAATGTCCACATGAAGCCTTTTGAGTTTGCTGTTAATGATGGCAGTTTTCCTGGAGGTGCTAATGTCCTGGGGGATCTTTAGAGAGACCGGTGAACATAGTCCAGATGTTCCAACAGCCTAGTTTTAGAGCTGATTTCTTTTGTAAATTCTTGTTATTGTATGGTGCAAAGGTTGCAGTCTGCTTGTTGGATGTTTCCTAATCTCCATGAACCCAATGAAAAAGGTAAACCATGACTGGCTGGGGGCTGCCCAGCTTGAGGTGGGAGGGAGCTGTCCAATAACATCCGAAAATCTCTCCCACCGGCGGTTCCAGTTTATCTGCCCAAATACACAATTTATATATATTGTCTGTTTTCTAATTAAATTAATAGTTGCTCTGGTTTGACATTGAGCTCTCTGGGTTACATCCTCCTTGGCATTATCCATATGGATTACCAAACTTTTCATTACCTAACTATTGGCTCCTCATAGAAATAAGTTGAGCTCTCATTGCTTCCACATTTGCTTTCTTATATCTTTACTTCTCTTTTTTCTCTTTGTCTCATTTCCTGTGAGATGACTTATTAACTAGGTCAATGTCTGGTTCTTACTGTTAAGTATCTTAATAAAAATAGATTTAAAATTATTCCTATCTCTCCCTTCCCTCTCTAATTTCGACCATATCCTTCATACTCCTCCTCTCCCTATCACCTTACGATATTGAGTCATCCCCCCCCACGAGGGTGTCATGTGGCACAAGGCCTTTTTAACGTGGGCATTCCGAGCCCGTGGGCTCGGCCAAAAATATGCCCATTGAACCCATATAAACAGGTTCAGGGCCAGTTTACCTCCCCGAAGGAGACTCCTGTCCGTAGGAAGAGAGTTCAACCGAGCAGTCAGTTCAAAAGTGAACGACTGACTCACTCTCCCTATCACCTTACATTAACTTAAAACTACCCCTCAAAAGTGTATTAAAATAATACATAAATTTAAAACCATTTTTTTTTTACCATTGGAAATGTGATCTGATGAACTTTTCATTACCTACCTACCTATATATATATATATATATATATATAGACAACTTTTTTTATGTATATTTTTGTCTTACAGAGACGAGTACGAGCAGCTTTTGCTGAGATTCCATTCAAAGGTTGGCGAAGAGCTGAATATGTGATTAAAATTCTAGACAACCACCTGGAAAATGTAGACAACTGTGAAGTTATAGATGTTGTAGATGTTGTACAAAATTCCAACAGCTTTGAAAATGCTGTTGAACAGCTTACAATTGTGTGTAACTTGTGCCTGAATCAGTTTCCACAGGGAAAGGTGAGTAAAGCAGTATAAATATATATATTTTCTATCCTGAATCACTGAAAACTCTAAAATTAATACATTAGCTGAATAGTATGAAATAAAAACAATGTCATTTATTCTGGTTGATTTACATTTTATCTAAGAAACAATGAATTATGTTAATGGGAGTAAAGAATACCACATGTTGGGTAAAAAAATAATGTGTTGTAGCTACAAATATAATGGGAGAGAGCTCTGGAAGTAATGTCTGTTCTCTCATTTGTATTTCCCCATTATGGGCATTATTATATCCATGATATATTCCACAGATAGAATGGAATGTGTAAAAGGAAAAGGTATGACAAACATGCTTTGATCTCAGAGAGACTCTTATGCTACTAAGACATACACAAAAACTATATATACATATTTACATGTGACACATTCAGAGAAAAATGCAACATACATCTACACAGCAAGCAGAGTGAAAGGAGAATGAAAAGATAGGGTCTTATATATATATATATATGTGTGTGTGTGTGTGTGTGTGTGTGTGTGAGTGTGAAAATATATAGGAAAGAACTTGTTACGTAAATAATGCGAAGTTCTTTAGTATTTTTGTTTTTATTTTTAAAAAACAGTGCTCGATACAAAAGTAGAGTCTAAATATAATTATTTATTTAAAAATATGATTCCTCTGCTACATGAGAGTTCTCATGTTTCAAAAACAGGAGCTGAAAACTTCAATATAATTATTAGAATTAAATTGAATTAAAGTACCAAGCTCTATTTCATCTTCAAGCAAGATTCCAAAAATTTCTTTTGAAGATGAAACAGAGCTTGATACTTTAATTTAATTTAATTCTAATAATTATATTGGAGTTTTCAGCTCCTGTTTTTGAAACATGCGAACTCTGATGTGTAGCGGAGAAATCATATTTATATATACGTACATTTATATATATGTATATTTATATATATATATATATATATATATATATATATATATATTATTAATGCTCTGTGAATTTACATTGAGCACTATTTTGTAAAAAATAAAAATATCAATAAGAACACCGGATTACATATCTTACTGTTCTTTTTTTTATTTAAATATATATATATATATATATATATATATATATATATATATATATATATATATATATTAGTAATAATCTTATAAATATAAGAAATTATACTGTCCGAAAACCTTCGTGTCTTAATTTGCAAATAATTAAACCAATACCAAAGGGAAAAAAAAAGGTATAAAAAAAGAAAGAACAAAGAACATGTACATCAGCTGAAAATAATTGTCTAGCATTCAAGTCCAATGTCCAAAGAAAAAAAACCCGATACAAATAAGCAAAATAACTAAATAAGGTGCTCAATACATAAGGTAGAGCAGACCTAGTTAAACCTAAAGAGTCAGACAAACCTACCAAGGTTTCACCTAAGCGGATCATCAGGGAAAGCTTCCCTGATGATCTGGCTCGTTAGGTTTAAGTGTGTGTGTATATATATATATATATATATATATATATATATATATATATATATATATATATATATATATATATATATATATATATATATATATATATATATATATATATATATATATATATATATATATATATATATATATATATATGTATATATTTATATACATATATATGTGTATATATTTATACATATATATGTGTATATATTTATATACATATATATGTGTATATATTTATATACATATTTGTGTATTTTTTATATATATATGTATATATATATATATATATATATATATATATATTCTATGTCTGGGTGTATATATATTCCCAGAGGGAAATCTCACCATATTCTTATTGGGGGAGGCAGGTTTAATCTCAGCTTGGGCCTCTTGTCCCAAGCCAAATGAGCAAATATTTCATTTAGCCCCTGTAAACAAAGTATATGAGTTACTGAACACTTTTGTCACTGTATGAAGTGATGTAACTGTGAGTGATCTTGACCAAAGGGAGATAATCACCTTTTGTATCCCTACAATGTCAACTGGTTAAGCAGATGAAAGGGCAATTGGGTGAGTTTTAGTGATACTAGTTTTACTCAATCCTATTGTTTTAAACCAATATTCAATCCTTGATTTCGTTTCCACTTTATTTATGGTTTCTAATTAAGATTCTTAATTGTTTCTTTCTCTCATTGATCACTTTTTGGTAAAATCTTTCATGATGTTTCTCATTTGCTTTATTCTGATATTGCACAAACAGAGACCTACCCAGTTACACCAATGAAAAGCAATATATGAATACATTTATTCAAAATTTCATCACTAATGTAATCCTCAAAGAATCTCAAAATATCTTAAAAAAACTTATCTTCAGTTATTTCTTTTTATTATTCATTTTTCAGTATTTTATGATTTCATTTCCTTTTCACATCAATCCATTGATTGGAGAACAAATAAAACTTTCAAAATTGTAAAAAATATAAATATATATAAAAACTCTTAAATAAATTCTTGTAACAATCATATACTTATTTATATACTTAAAAATAGATTACTTTATCCTGTATTGAAAATAACATCTCTACATAGAATTGTTGGCAATTTTATTCTATATTGTTGTTTTCTTTTTCCTCCTACCAACAGATTATGACACTGAGCTTCTGCAACTGTAAATTCTGTCAAGAATGTTTTCTTCAAAATTTTAAAATCAGAATCCGAGAAGAACCTGTTCGGAGATGGACCTGTCCCACTTGTAGCCTTCCAGAACTAAATGATGAAGAAACAGTAACAAATTATTTTGCATTTCTGAATTTACAGGTAAGACTATATATATATATATATATATATATATATAAAAGAAGGTGATGGATTTTTTATTTATTAATCCAACAGATTTTATTACTTAAACATTATTTTTAGTGAATACCCATATTTGAGTAGATACTCTGTTTATTTATTAAACGATATATTTATTAATTTCATTCTGGTAAATAAAAATAAATATACTGTTTAGTAAATAAACGGAGCATCTATTTGAATATGGGTATCCACTAGAAATAACATTTAATATATATGTGTGTGTATATATATATATGTGTGTGTATATATATATAATATATATATGTGTGTGAAAATATATAGAAAATAGGAAAGAACTTGTTAGGTAAATAATCCAATATTCTTTAGTATTTTTGTTATTATTTTTAAAAAACAGTGCTCGATACAAAAGTAGAGCCTAAATATAATTATTTATTTAAAAATATGATTCAATCGCTCCATAAGAGTTCCCATGTTTCAAAACAAGAGCCGAAAACTTCAACATAATTATTTGAATTAAATTACCAAGCTCTGTTCCATCTTCAAGCAAAATTTTTTTTTGGAATAACTAATTCTTGAAATTTACGCGTTTTTATAAGCATATTCATTAAAATTAAAATTACTATGGTAACGGCTAGAGCAATTAAAAAAAAAAAAGAAGGGGCGTAAGGGTTAATAATTTATATCAATATCTCAGTTACATTCAAAGAGGTCAAGTCAGGGTAAGGTTGGGGTGTCTAAATTCAAAGCGGAAGATGAACTTACTGATTTCCAAAAAGGAAGAATAATTGAATTAAAACTATGACAAGAAAAATATTCTCTCAAGCTTGTAAGCTGATAACCTGCAACATGAAATCTCTAAAATAAACATTGGACAAATAATCAAACTTTGCTCTAAATTACAGTCATTATGTGCAAATAAAATGTCAATAATAATCAACAGTCTATCAAGTGTAAAACTTTCCACTACAGAACAAGAATCCCTTCTTCATACTCAAATTTATCATCAGAATTAAAAAATGACAATATCACAGGTACCTTAATAAAATAGATAATAAAAAATACAGATAACATGATACTGATGTTGACAAGAGCTTTACGCAAAAGATTATAAGCATCATTTTAAAATTAGCAACATATGAAACAACATTACCAAGCAGATAAGTAAATGCACTAAAACTTCTATCTAAAAGTAGAATTTATCCATCACCTCCTCCAATTAAGGTGGTGGGGTTATGATTATGGATGCTTGTGCTTACAATGAAAAAATAGAATCTCTTAAATGATACAAATATTTATAAAGAAATTGAACATAAAAGGAGATACAGAAATTCAACCACTCAATCAAAGCACTAATAAAAAATGAAGACAAAACCTGGTTATGATCCAAAGCTACGTAGTTTCTATGGCTTACCAAAAAAACACACACTCAACATTCCAATTTAATCCATTATCTTTGATATAGGCAGCATCCCTCACAAATTAGCAAAAATTTGAATGCCTCTTTTAGGAACATGCACACCTTAAAAATTCTGAAAATTGAAAAATTGAAAAACATATGAAAACTAAAGTCATGTCTAGCTTAAATATTAAGTCTTTATATACTAATAGACCACTTGACAAATGTTTAAATTTTCTGTCTACTTTATAGCGACCAATGTTTTTTCACATTCAATTACAAACAAAAATCCACCCCCAGGTTCTCCTATTAGGGTTTTTAACCAGACTTTTAGAATTCTTAGAATCTAGCTTCTTTTTAAAAAATCTTACCCAAAATGCTAAATATTTTCCCTTTATAGATGACATCTAATATATCCATACAATATAAATTTATTAGATCTCATAGACTAAAAAATTGAACCAGCAATTGAAACTGCATATAAAATAACGACAGCTTTTCTCGATATTCTGTTAAATCAAAATAATACTGGCTTGAAATTAAACATCTCAGTCAACAAATAAAAATGAGCTCATATTTTATTTATATCACAACAATAAGATAAGATCTGGAATATAGGTTTTTATTTAAGAGCCCTTAGAATTTGCAGCCCTGAATATCAACCTGAAGAAGAAAAATACATTGAAAGTATTTTGAAATCTTGCACTATCCTAGTTATTTCATATACAGTGCCAGAAGAAAAGCATACAAAAGCCACAAAGCAGAAAAAGAAGGTATAAACAGCGACACAAAAACAAAGCTCTTTAAATTACCTAAAAAAATCCATAATTAATGAACTTGAATGAAATTTAGCTAATCTCAATATAAAATTATTGCAAACACTTCAAAAACAATTAAAATTTTAATCAACAGACAGCTAACTTTACATCAGATACAGGAGTTTGCCAAAGAGAATGCAAACAAGCCCCTTCCCCTAATCCCCTCCCTGCCAATACATCAGTGAGTCATTACAAAATTTAAAGTAAAGAATGTATGAGCTCAAAAGGGACTTATAATTAAACACACTCAGTACACCTGTATACCACCAAAACATTCATGATTGCAATTCTCACCTGGAAAATGTAGTTTTAATAAATAATGATACATAAGTAATGATACACTTGAAGTAAAAAAACAGTTTTTAGCCACTTAAAGTAAATCATATTTTGTTTTGCTAATGTAGATTTTGTTTTGTGAAAAAAAATCATTTTTATGACAATGATGTAACATATTAAGATTTTTATATAATATACAAATCATGATAGTTATAAAATTTTCTCTTCAACTTTAAGGAAATTTGATATTCTATAAAATGACAGATGTTTACAAGTATACATTTTCCTATGTTTATAATTTTATTCAGAATTTGTAGAGCAACAAGAAATAGTTCAGTTGTATATTTTATTTCTTTTATTCAGTTGTATAACTTTACTTTTGAAACCACTAAAAAAAAAATTGAATTCAGTAGGCATCGGACATTTGAAAGTGTTATTGTATAAGAAAAATGAATCTTGTTTTCCCGTTGGACAATTGAGACTGATGTATTATAAAAGAAGAAAGATTTGCTTTTCAAACCTAGAATTAATTAACATTTTTTCTTGTTGTAGTTAAAACAAGTCATTGATGAAGACACATTCAATCTTTATGAAACAAAATTAAGGGATTGGCATCTGCATAAAGACCCTAATTTCCGTTGGTGTCCTTCAGTAAGTTCTTTTTAAAACCCATTTTATATTACATTATTTTATTTCCTGTTGCACTCTTATTCCAATTTTCAGTCCATTTTCATTCTCTCATTCTGTTTTATTTTGTTATTCTTTCATTCCATCTCTCACTGTTTTAGCTCATATTTTATTTTATTTATTTTTTTTTTTTTCCTTATTTTTCTTCAAACCTTCATTCTATTCTTAAATCTTCATTTACACTTCTTTCAGTCTTGATTTTACAATGTGTTTTTTCTTTTTGGTTCATGTTTCCATCTGTTAACATAATGCTGAATATATAGTGTAAGGTTCTGAAGGTGACAGATCTAATCTTATAGAGATATCTCTCTTACAGTTATTCCTTAATTTGATGACAGCAATAATAACCTTATTTCACTACAAATTGATTATATCTATTCATACATATACAAAATAAAAAAGAATATTTAAAAATAATATAAATTTGGTCACAGTTGCTTCATTTGATATTGTTGTTGTTAGAAGGTTTTTAAACATGCCACAAAATGTTTTTCTTTAATGTTTAGCAAATTGGCATCTAGGTCCCACCCTTTTACTGTTGAAATAGTTAAATGTAACTGCTACTTCTACTCCAACACTTTCTTTTCTAGCACTTTCTGACAGTGGAACTCCTTTCCACTTATTTACTTCCCTGATAACTACAATCTTCAAAAATTTAAATGTAACATCACCTGCCATATTCTGTTGACTTGAACCATGTTCATCTTTTATCCTTTCCTCAGTCCCCCGTATACCCAGTATTTTCTCTCACTTTCACTCTCTGTAACCCCCCCCCCTGCACACTAGTGGTGCTCTTGCCTAGGTTGGAGTGATTAAAAAAAAAGTCCAGTTTTCATGATGTCAAGTAGCTTTCTAAATAACTCTGTCAAGTAATTACAAAAAGTTTCTAGTTTTAGTCATATTGTGTGAATTAGAAACATTTTTATTTGTTTACTGAAAATAAGATGAAACATATTTTTGCATATTTGAATTTTAAAACTTACAAATTCACTTTTTTATTCTTAGCATTTTAATTTTATTGTTAAAATAAAAACTTTTTTGTTTTTATTTATCCTATAAAAATGATAAAGGACACTCAAAACAATATATAATAAGAAAATTAAGTGTGACACCCAGGCGTTGGCCCATGGTCAACTCCCAGTCGCGGCGCGAAACGGTAATGTTTCTTCTAATGGCGTTTTGGGGTTGACTCTTTGTTGCTGCCACCAGCCTGTGTCCCAGTCAATCAGTGGTTGTCGCTACTTGGTGAAATCCCCTGGTCAGGATACCAATATGGGACACTGGCCTGTCCAGGGTCGAATTCTGGTCGTCGATGTTAACAGCTTCACCAGCTGTACCGGTTCAATACCAGCTCTATTGTTCCCAGCTCACTTGCAACGTCTGGTTACTGGAGTAACTGCTTCAATCTGAAGTCTAACCTACCCACGTTGTGACTTTGATCTTAGGTAGATGAGATCAATCAGGCGTCAGGCTGTAGTGGAGGCTGAGTCCAGACTGAAAGTGGTATTGCACAAGCGCAAAGAAATAAATAAAAGAAATACCCAAGAGGTTCAAGTATGTTAAGAAATAACAAATTAACTTTATCCTTCTGTTGTACATAGGAGTGTGTTTTTCTCCCAGCCTGTTTTCTCTGAAATGTGACACGTCTATGTTTCAAGCAAGTTGGTATCTTAAGTCAGCTGATTTAGTTCTTAGGTGCTGGCTTGGCTTCGTTTGTCAGTATAACTTGCTATTGGTAGGATAGGCGAAGTCGGAGGTCGTGGAATCTCTTGGTCAGCTTCTGTGAGGCAACACTCTGGTTAACTCTGCTGAACCATCACAGGACATTCGTTTTTATGGGTACCGACCAAAACCCGGTGTTGGGCCAGGCGTGGCCTGGGGTTCTCAGTAAATCTCGATTTCTAACAAGAAATCTCTTTGTTGTCAGGCCAAGAAAATTGATTACTTTTTCCATTTCGGGGGTTCTCCATTGTCTGTGAGGGAAGGTTGGAGGAGAGTTATCCTCCTAGACTCTTTCTCTCTCACATTGATATCTCATACCAATTCCCTCAGTGGGCATTAACAACAACTCCGCCTTTCTCATCCATTCGCCTCCACCTATCACCCATGCTACCACCTGACCAATGATATCTTGGCCATGCAGGTGTGGCTAAGCTGGCCTCCTTAAAATTATAATCCTAAATTTTTGTTTACAAAATTCTCCTTTTTCCCATCGGCCAAAATTTTTACAAATTCCATATTGCAAATTAAATTTCTATCATATCTTTTTGCCACCCAGAATTCACTTAGCCAGCACTCTCTACCAACCCATCAATCACTGTCAAAGTTTGCCATCTGGTCCTTTCATTAAGTTAGCTTTATAATGGAATCCTTGGCTTGTTAAGAAATTAAATTCTTTTATTTCGCCAAATTTGAATTCTCCACTCTATTTTCTGTCTCATGCCAAAAGTTTACATACACCATATCACTATTCAACGTCTCAGTGTCTTAATCAACATGTTGATAAGTTAAATAATAACAAACCCCTCACCTATGTCAAGACAATGCCAAAATTTTACAATTGCCACATTGCTTCTCTTTGCCTGTATCCAAGAAAAAAAATAAACGATATCTTGGAAAGATAATTAACATTGATTCTCCCTGTCCTGTATCTGCAATTGTCTCCAGCTGAAATTTTTATGACTGGCTTGTGGTTTGGCTGAAATCTTCATATTCACCTTTCTTTCTATCTCCCTCGGCGAGACATAAATCAACCTGACAAGACCTCACATATGGCTTTTTCCATGGGTTTACTGTCTTTTGTGAAAAGTATCTTTTTTGTAAATACAATAAAATCTTTCTTTTAACGTCGATCAGTCTATCTTTCGTGATAGCTCTTTTTCGCCTTAAGTTTTTCCTGTTTCTTAATTTCTATGGTTAATTAGTTAGCCAATTGCCATAGCTAAATAGTGTCACATAAGAACTAAATGATATATTGATAATATTTTAAATGAGATGTTTGAACACCCACTCCAATGCTGTGACAATACCCCAGAGTACTAATGGAGTGTTAATTAGTTGACCACCTGAGTGTCTCTCCTCTCACTTCTCCTCATCTTTTATTACACAGTAGAAAATTATTAGATTCAAAAGCTCAATAGACTTTAATAAATTAGCTGCCCCCATAATGATCAGCAGGAGGATTGTTAGTGAAAGAGAAACTTTCAATTGAAAGACTTTTTTCTGGGTGGTACACAAACAAATGTCCTGTTGACAAAATTCACATTGTGAAATAATTTTCTTTTGATATTTCTTTAAAACGTTGCATTTAAAAAAAGCTTAATATTTCCGTTTATTGATTGAATTATTTTATTCTCTTTCAGTGTGAAAACGGTTTCCTTTACCATGCCGATGGATTAAAGATGAACTGCCCACATTGCAACAGGGCTACATGTTTCAAATGCATGAAACCGGTAAGTAAAAGACTGACGCAACTTAAGATGCAGATTCAGTTATATAGATTCAAAGTTCTTAAAATATTTCTTACTTATTAGTTGTTTCTAATAGCTTTTTTTTTTAAAAGATGTAGTTTAACATGTTTCAAATGCATTAAACTGGTAAGTAAAAGACTGATAACAGCTTTAAAGCTGTAGTTTAAACAAAATGTGGAATAGTGATACTGATCAAGTAGGAATATAATACAAGTATTAAATCTATTAAGTCTACATCTCTATCTATAAAAGGCAGGATGTGTGTGTGTGCGTGTAATGAATGCACGGCTGTAATTTTTGACGTATTTGCTCCAAAATTTACATGCACAGTTAGTGGAAAAGCCAAGACCGACTTTGCATTTCCCAACTCCCATTGATAGTTGAAATAATCGATGTTTTCATGCTTCTACGGCAGTTTTCATGTAGTTTGCAGCCATTTTGTACAATAGCTGGCTGCCACAAATACGCAGGAAGATTGGCTAGCATGAGAGCCAACAGCTGACTGACACGAATGTTAACTAGCATGCAAAAAAAATCGATAGCTGCATTCGTCACAAGTGGGAAAAATTTAAATCTGCATGGCACTTTACTCCAGTTGGCTCATTCGTTTCCTTAAACTCAACGTTGATTCTGATTCCGCAGAACTGGGTTGGGTGTGAAAAAGTATTTGTTAACATTCTTTTTTCATTCGGTTTTTCCAGTTATGAGTCCTTTTTTAAAGCTGATCGTTTTGCGTTCATTTTGTTTAGTTCTTTTTTCGTAACAGATTTAATGTTTAGTATAGAGCTTAGAAGAAATTTGCAGTGTGAGATAGGCAAGAAGTAAGGCATGTAGCAACATCAGCACAACAAAGGGCACTCCTTTAAAGGCAAGGAAGGGCAAAAATATTTTAAGTCAAGTGATAGCGATTGCTGTATGAGTCGTATGATTTTTGAATCAAGCACGGGCAAAGCTGGGCCATGCTGCTACTTAACTATAATTAAAGTCAAAGATTAAATTTAACATGGCAGGAAGAACTAAAAGCGGGCCATTTTTACTGTTGTTATTGATTTTGTAATTAAGATTTGCTTTCTTTTCCTCAGAACTCTAAAAAAAAAATTGGTCATTGTAAAGTAGAAATAGAAGGTCTCATTAGATAATAGGGGACTTCCACAGACAAACACTGAGCAAGATCCTGTTTTATCAATGTTAAGCAAATAGTAATTATTTTTCTGAAGTAGAAAGATCTGAACTTTTGTCTCAATTTATTTTTACAGTGGCAAGATCAACACCAAAGGCTTTCATGTGAAAAGTTCAATGAATGGTTGATTGCAAATGATCCGAATAACCAAGCATTTGGCCTTAAATTGATCCTTAAGAAAAATGGAATTGGTGAGCATTCCCAGTTTGTAAGATTAATAAGTTTATCTCAGAAATATTCTAGAAATTATTGAATTTGTATGTTTTAAATTATTTGTTTTTGTTTTTTGTTTTTTTTTTAAATTTTCTTTATGTAGAAAATGAATGTAATCATTGGATCTATTAGTTTGGAAAATAATTACCCAAGTGAAATTTGATCCATATTTATATTTAATACAAATTTAAAACTTATTTACTTTTATTATTCTATCTAAAAGTAAAATAACCATATTTTGGTGATTTGAACAAATTTTGCAAATGACATTGTAAATTACTTATATAAAAATATCTATCTTCAGTAAAGTGATTATCATATATTATTTATAGTAGTAGTTGTTTATATAAGTTTAATTATTATTTTTCTTAAGCAAATACTTCCATTCACTTTAATGATTACATATATAGTGACAATGCAAATTCTGGTTATAGCAGTGAAAAAAAATTGAAACCATAATCCTTGTTGCACTTTAGTACCAATTTCATTTGAATCTAGTATGTAAGGTTTCTACTTCTTTTTATCACTGACTCTTATTTGTTCACTGTAATTATTTTCTTTACTTTTCTTAAATATAGTAGTGAAGAAAAAATAATTTAATTGATAAAAAATATCCATTTCTATATCCTTAGGTTCCATTCTGCTTCTGAATTGATCCACATGGGCCAGTACATTTTGTCCATTTTTAACATTAGTATTGCTGTGTTGTGTCCTTTCTGTACTACAAAGTTTGCCTTCTCTGGATTAGATTCTTTGTCTTTTTTATACCATACACTTTCACTTGTTGAAAATGACATTGTTATGGGAGCTCTAATCTGTCTACCCATTAATGCGGAGGGACTTTGTAGTCTGCCAGCATGTGGAATTGTCCTATAGCTTAACAGTAATCTTGGTAAGTAACTCTATATATTATCATTAGATGGGGAAAATGCTTTTAGTCCCATTTTCACAGTCTGCACCATTCTTTCTGTGATTCCATTTGATTGTGGGTGGTAAGGTGGTGTTTTATATGGACACATCCAATACACTTTAGCCACGAGCACAAACTTTCCTTGCAAAATTCTGGCGTGTTATCTGAGACCAAAGTTTTAGGCACCCCATTCCTTGAAAATATTGTTCTTAATATTTGTTTTACAGTGGTGGCTTTTCTGTCAGCAACCTTAATTACTTCAGGCCATCCTGAAAATGAGTCCACTAAAATTAAAAATAGCCCTATGCCTTTAATATGGGCATGATCCATGTGTACCTGAGCCCATGGTTCTTTTTTTTTTTAGGCCACAAGTGAATTTTGTTTTTTTGCTGAAAGTTTTTTTTTTTCAGCACATTTTTTTACATCTTTTTCTATAGTCTTCTTCATCTCAAGAATATCCTGGCCACCATGCTTGTAATTTTAATCTCATTTGTGTTGCTGTTATACCACAATGTACATCATCATGTACACCTTTTAGTACTTTTTTTTTTTGTTAAACTTTGTGGGGTATTATAATATCTCTATTGCATATTATGCCTTTCTCTACAGTTAACTTATGTCCTTGATTCTTTGTAGGGTCTTTCTGCCATTGAACAATTGCTCCATGTGTTTCTTTTTATTCTGTCTGAAATTCTACTTAACACTGGATCTTGTATGGTTTCCATTCTGAGATGATTTAGCGGTAACACATCCATTTCAACCCAGTGCAGTATTTTATCTTCTGAATTTTCAGACATTTCTAATTTTTTACTGTCAAAATTTAGTCTGGATAGCACATCCACATGTGGAATAGTGTTCCCTTTTATGTATATGATGTCGAAATCAAAGGCCATGAGTTTTATAGCCCATCTTAAAATTCTAGAAGATGTGACTTTTGGTAATTCCTTTCTGGGGTTAAATATAAACTCTAAAAGTTTGTGATCTGACTTTAACAAAAATTTTCATCCTAACAAAAAATTTCAAGCTCTTTCTGTGCTCCATACTATTGCTAACGCTTCTTTCTCAATATTTGAGTAGTTAGCTTCAGTTGACATTAATTTTCTCGACAGGTATATTATTGGATGGCCATGAAATAAAATTGGAGCTACAGCATATTCACTTACATCTATAGTCAATGTCACTTACTTTTTTTCATCAAAAGATTTTTGCAATCAGTTTTCTTATTAGAGCCGTTTTTTAAGCTTTCAAAAGGTATATTTTGGCTTTGAGTCCATTTAAATTCTGTATTTTTTTTCCGTAATTCAGTAAATGGCCCTATTAGGTCACTGTATCTAGGTAGATATTTGCTATAAAAATTTTTTCAATCCCCAAAAAAGATTCTAATTCTTTTTTTTTTTTTTTTTTGTAGATATATTCTTGATATTTTTTATTTATCAGTTTATTGTCTGGTGAAATTCCTTCTTTAGATATTTGGTATCCCAAATACGATATTTTGTCACAATTTAACTCACATTTATCACTATTTATCATCATACCAGCATTTTTTAATTTGTTTAAAACTTGTTCAGTTTTTTTAATTCCTCTTTACTGCAAGCACCTATGCCTATATCGTCTTGATATATGATTATATTTTTTACCCCTCCGATAGAACTTTTTCAATTGCCTTTTGAAAAATATGGCTTGAAGATTAAATCCAAATAGAAGACAAGTCCATCTTAGTAAACCTATCAGGGTATTAATTGTAGTGACTTCTTATAATTTTCTGTCAATTTTCCATTTGGTTATATTTGGTTATATGCTGATTTCAAATCAATCTTGGCAAAGTATTTAATTCCTGCTAATTCATGACTTGTTGTTTCTATGTTAGGTAAGGGGAATGAATCAGAGCATATGTGATGATTCAACACCTACTTTGTAATCCCCACATATCCTCAAATTGCCATTGGAATTTTGTAGTGCAACAATTGATGAAGCCCAACTGCTACTACCTTAGGTAACTTTTTTCAATATGTCTTCTATCATTTTCTTTAGTTTTGCAACTGCCATGGGTAAAATGTGAATAGGTATCTTTCAAGTTTCAAAATAGATCGGGTGACTATTTTCTTTTACACAGATACTCACTTTATATCCTTTTAATAGTCATATGTCAGGCCTTTTGACTTTATACAGTTTATTAATTTCACCATATCCACTTTTAAAACATTTATTTCCGGGAGTCCATGATTTTTTGTGCATTCTACAACAGTGACGCGAATAATCTCAAAACATTTTTGTCTCAAAAGTTCCTTCAAAAGAACCTAGAATTTTGATAACAGATCCATCAAATTGTTTTAAATTAAGATTACTTTTTCTTAATTTGGGTCTACCTATTTTTCCCAGAAATTCCTTGGGATCAAGGTAACATTCATTCCCCATGTCAACCTGCATGGGAAAAAACATTATGCCATTCAGTTTTACTGTCTCTCTACTTTTTGCAGGTGTTCTTATCTAATTTACATTTGTATTTTCAGTACAAGGGTTTATATTTTCTACCCTTTCTATTCTCTTTTTATCTGCATATCTGCACAGATTGAAAATGGTCTTTTCTTTTTTACAGTTTAAACATAATTTTCCTAGGGCTGGACATTTGTTTTTGTTTTTTTTTTTTCATATTTTTTTGTCAAATATTTTGCACTTAATTAGGATTTTAGTTGTGTTGTATGCTTCCACATTGTTTTTATAGAATTATTAAATTCATTAATTAATTCTAATTGCTGCAAGAATTCTACACTTGCTTCTAAATTCATATCATTTTACCATTTTATAGTTTCTAGGATCTTATGTTTGTATAGTGGAATTAATTTTTTGTAGAATATTTTGTTTCTTTCATATTAAATAGGAAGTAACAGAAAATACTCTGACCTCTGCAAAAAGATGTAATTATTATGACAATTTTTCCCAGGTTTGTTTGAACTAAGACATTACCTGTTCCATCTATTCAGACACTTTTCTTTTTCTGTCCTGAAGGCAGCTTATTCAGGAAACAAGCAAGAAATTATGCTAAAGGATTATTTGTATGCATTCATTTGCAAAAATCAAATTTTTAGCTACAGTTGCATTCATATTTAGTTTTCATTATTACACATCATCACAGGTGCATTTTCAATTCTACAACTCTTTTTTAATCATTTCACCCTAAGCAAGACAATAAAGCCACTAAAACACAAGGGTTACTGAGTGTGAGAGAATATGAAAAACAAAAAAAAACACTATTAAGAAGAAAGAGAACAATAAAAGAACAGGAATTAAGAAAACAGAAGATAACAATTGATATTGCATTTAAATTCTTGAAGATCAAAGTTGACTGGGAAGCAAGAAAGTGAAAGAGTTCCACAAGCTACAAGAGGAAGAATGTGTGTGTATGGAGGCGTGGCTGGGTCTGCAGCCTGCTGTCTTTGGTCAGGATCAATCCTGGTATCAGAGAATGAGCCGTCAGCCCACACTCGTTGGTTGTTGGTGGGATTTGACACTGCAGCTGGTCTTTAAGTTGACCTCTTCAACTATAACTTCTCTTACCCACATTGTGATTTTTGATCTTAAGAGGGTCAAGCTAAATTATCACTGGGGTATCTCAACCAAGCTAAACGAAGGAGTTGAATACGCGCACAAAATTGAAAATAAAACAAATGATGCCCAAATAAGTCACTAGATGATATTTATATCAAAATAATAAAAAAATTATTTACAGTTCTTTTTTTTCTTTTTCTTTCTTTTCCTAACCTGTTTCTAATATTTGGTGATGGAACGAAAATTTTGGCTAACTCCTCTAAGGATGGCCAGACTTGACAACTGGATTTTTTCAAGTACTGTTGATTGTACTTTCAAGGATGGCACAAGGATATCATCAGAATCTTTCTTCAGTGGATAATTATTATTATTATCATTAGGTTGGTAAAACAGCGTAATGGCAAAAATCTCTTAACTCCCCGTCAATGTAACTTGCTGCAACTCCAACTCCAACTACTTTAGCCCCCGTTGGCACTTGTATTTATGGATGTCCATTCCTACTGGTATGGTGAAGGTGCATAAGGGGAGTTTTATGCAAATATCCTAAAATTCAACCAGTCTCCTTCTTTCGTTCTCTGTTTCACACTTACAAATTTTGGAAGATCCCCCCTCCTTCGAGAGGAGTCATTATATGATGTCAGTCTTCCTGACATCTCCCTCAATTGCTCATTCTGTCTTCACAATTACAATTTTCTTTCTCAGAGAAATTTTGGTTAATAATTTTCCCAGTATGTAGACATTGACACCTTTCAACAGTTGACTTGCCAGCTGTGTCTCACCGAGCAGTAACAATCATATTTTGTATCTTTTTCCACAGAATTTGTACACCTGTTCTCAATATCCTGGGAAAATGAGTCCCTTTCTGATAAAAAAAATTCAACCCTTTTTGTCCGTATGCCATTTTAAATATTGTTAAATGTGGCCTTGATCTTTCAGTGGAAGAAATATCAATCTAATGTCTCTTGATTAAGACAGCTCAGCAAAGCCTATTGTAATGGAAATAACCAACAATTATTATAACTTAAAAAGCTTTAATAAACTAATTTTACAGGTTTCTGTTAGTGACTTAAAAAGTCCACCTTTGTTTGCACATAGGGAATGTGTTGTAGTCTAGAAAAATTTCTTAAGAGCCAATAACCTTCATTCACTAGGGAGTTCCTTAAGACCTATCAATTGTTATTACTACATTCTCCACTTCTGTTTTTATTTGGTTACAAGTACAGTCGCTGGGGAGGTTTTACCAATCTGGAAGACCTACAAAGTATTGGACAATCAGCTTTAGTTAGTAAAGGGGTAGGCGCAGTTCGGCTGACTCAGATGGCAACTGCTCATTACTATTGGTATCTTCATTTTCAATGCAGTCAGCTCTTTCTATCACTGCTGAAGGGACCTCAAAAACTTCTTTTATTACACCAGTGTTTTCTGCTTCTAATACATGGTGCTAGATCTCTTAATAATACAATTGGTTTTTGTTGGTGCTTAACAGTAGTGTAGGATGGATTTGCATCTATCAGCTCAGCCTCATCCACCAGAAGATCGTTCTTGTTTCTGATGAAACGTTGTGGGAGTACTTGTCCAGAGCTTGTTAACCAAGTTGGCAGAGAAGTACCAAAAGAAGAGGGTCTTTTGTAACTAAAGAACTGTTCATATGGAGTGGAGTTGATTGCAGTTGACAGGAGAGATCTAATGGAGGAAAGGGTGTTGGGGAGTACTGACTCCCAATGATGATCATCCAATTGGTTTGACTTAAGGGCAAGTTTAATTGCTTTCCAGATTATATCATTGTATCTCTCTACTTTTAGATTTACACACTTTTGAATAATGTCCTTTTTTTTTTTTTTACAAGTGTGGCAGGTGATCTAGCCAGACATACATTTCTATGGTGTATTAGTCTACCACAAAAAAAACATTTCTTTTTATTAAAAGTACAAAGTCACCTTCTTTTACTAAATGATGCAGCAATGTGTCTACTTACGTTTTCTTCCTTTTGAATTTCTTTGGTCTCTGTAGTAGCAGCAGCAACTCAGTCTGTTGGTGTATAGTTATAGGTGTCTGAATATTCTGCACCAAGTCTAGGGAGAAATTGTTTAACATTTTAATCCAGTGTTTCCATTCCTTTGCTGCTGTAGGGGAGTTTGGGTCAAGATCCAGTTTTTGTGGTTTAAACATTTTTCCATGTTGTCAAGTACACAACAATATCAACAGAATAATACAATGAAATTAGTTTATTAAGACGTTTTAATAATCTAATTTTACAGTTAGTGACTTAAAAAGTCTGCTTTTGTTTCCCCATGACATGCAGGGAGTGTGTCATAGTGCAGGAGAGTTCCTTAAGGGCCGATAACTTTCATTCATCAGGGAGTTCATCAAGGGCTATCAGTCATTATTATTACTCCTATACTGAAGGAAAAGTGACTTTTAGTTTCTTCAAATCATTAGTTAGCACAATTCTTTAATTCTAATCACTCATAAAGCTCTTTGACTATCTATTCCACACACAGGTTCTTCTGACAATAAATATATTAATCAACTGTTGACAGCTGGACTAAGCCTAAAAAAGGAAGTATGTAAAAAGTAAAATCCATTATTGAAATTTTCTCCACTTTTCCCAACCTAAGAACTCTGAATACATGTCAAAATAAATTGAATTTTTAGCACCTGCGTTCTTCTTGTCCAAATCCATTGATCTATTTTATTACTCTGTAAAACCTTGACTTTTCTTATCTTTAGATTTTACTTGATTTTTAGCTTGATTTATATTGTCTAATAAAAGTCACTTGATTTTGACATCCTAATCTTGACCAGGAAATTCTATTATTCCAGAAGTCTGAAATTTGAAGATTTATTTTTGAATATCAGGATATTTTTTTCATTCCCAAGTAATATGTATATCCCTAGATAAAAGATACATAATGAAAATTATTTAAGCTTTTCTTTTTAATAATTTCACCCCAAGCAAGGCAATGAAGATACTAATATGCAAGAGGAAGTTCATTTTGAGATCAGCTGTCAATTTGACTTTATCAAACTGATGAGACTTACCATTAAGACAGGAGTAAATAGTTGTGTCAACAGCATAGATACCAAGTTAACAACTGATGACATCAGAAAAGTCTTTGATGAATATTAGGTCCAAGGATAGAGCCCTGGGATACACCTGCTTGAATTCAAAAAAATGGATGGCAGTGGAAGAGATAGATTTATATGTTTCCCATGGATATAATGGCAAAAGCAAATGTAACAGACTAAACCAAATTTGAACTTGGCTTGCCAATTTCATTAACAGTTCCACTAACCACACATTCTTATAATCTATAAAGACTGTTTTATAGTGATTTATATTGGAATCCATTTAAATCTGATTTCTTGACTAACCATAATTTTCTTCATCTCTTGTTAGTTCAAAGTTGACATTGTTTTGTTACTTGGTCAACCGTAATCAATATCAATGATTTGATTCCTATTTGTGGGTGTATCACAACAAAAATGGTACATTATAGGAAATGTTTTGTTAGGATAATACGGTTAAAATGTTCTAAAGAATAAAGTTATTTCTAATACAGTTTATAAATTAATAATGGTGTAAGATCCATGTTCATGTTCACTTTATGAGAATAATGGTTCAATTTCTTGTATATCTGTTAAAAGATTACTAATTTTTGCATGAATTAATATCTGTGAAAAGATTTTTGTAAAAAAAATTATTACCCATTTTTATATGGAAATATTTTTTTAACAAATTCAATATATTTAATTCTGTTACAACATGAAAATTATCTTTTAATTTCTTTTTCTTTCTCTCTTCCATTATAAACATTTCCACACTTTGTTTTTCTTTTAAACTGTAAGCATGTTTGTTTGAAAATCATTTAACACTAGACACCTGCTTAGGGATTAGTAACAAGAACTAACAGGACAAAAAGACAGGATTATAAAAGGGTAATAAAGGCTGGAACCCTAGATTAGAAATAAAAAATGCTACAAAGATTGAATGAATAAATTGGAGAACTATTCCAACAATGAAAGAGGACAATCCCATAATACACAGAAATATTGAATGAAAAATATTAAAATCTAAAGTGAAATCAGCACTGGACAAGTTGAACAAAAACAAACCATCAAGAACAAACGGAATTGTAATAAAGATACTGGCAGCCTTAGATGATTTTGGCATTGACATGATTACAGACAATAAATGAAATAAACAACAAATGGTGATATATCCTAAATAGATCCCATTTTCATAGCACTGCCCAGATGTAAATGAATGGGGTAAACTAAATCAGACAATGAACTTTATCAAACAATAAGCCTAATGATGAATAGAACAAGACTGATGAATTATATCAGAAATAGTACAAAAAAAGTGCACTTTTGTAAAAGACAATGGAACAAGGAATGCAATATTTATACTCAGAATGATATCAAAAGATTAAAATGTAAAAAGAATGTATATCTATGTTTTATAGATTATAAAAGCATTTTATAAAGTATATCACAAAGAACAGATGGAACTGTTAGGTAAACTTGATATATTTGAAAAGATATTAGAATAATCTAGAACTTATACAGGGAGAAAACTACCTGCAATACAAACAGAAAATGAATTCAGTAAATATACAAAAAGAGAAAATGGCATAAGACAAGGATATGTCTTCTTACAAGATTTCTACCTTTAGCATGAGGTGACTCAGATTGAATTAGAAGTCTTACCAGGATTCATTATTTGCAGCCATGATTAGATATGCAGATGACACAGTTTGATAACACAGAAAAGAAAATACAAGAGCTACAAAACGTAGCAATGGAAAGGGAGAAGAAAGAACTATGCATCAATTTTAAGAAGATAGAATGTATGGTTGTCAGCAAAAAGAAGAACTCAACATCCAAATTACAAATTAGGGATAAAAATTACTAAATTTAAATATCTAGGAGATGACTAAATCAAAACAGTGCAATAAAAAATGCATTGGGATAGTGAAAGTTACCTTTGAAAAGCTAAGCAATGTATTAAGAAACAGGAAAATATCTTTAGAAACAAAGAAAAACTGTAACTTGAACTGTTAGTAATATGGAAAATTCTCCAGATGAAGAAGGGATTATATTCTTATTCTACAGAAGGATTAGAATCAAAACATGTGATGATGAAATTTTAGAGAAAATGGAAACAAAGAAATTTTTAGAATCAGATAAAGACATTTTAAATTTCTGAGGAAAATGAGGGTTTGGGAAATTTGACACTAACAGGACATATTAAAGGCAAGAGAGACAGAGGAAAGCAGCACCTAACCTAACGAGCTTGTGTAAATGGTTGGCAGAACAGGGATTAGGAAAGATAGTGAAAGACAAAATGTACTAAGAGCTACAAATCACAGGAAATTATGGACAGCCATAATTGCCCATGTACTGAAGGGACACAGCATATAGAAGATGCAGTACAAGTAAAACAAGTTTTAAATTAAGTGTGGCTTATAACAGAGTAGCACTCCTTTATTTATTTCCAATTACGATATAAATTCTATAAATAGGAAGTGACTTTAGTGATCTATTTTTTAATTATTTTATTTTGTTAATGATAATCAATGATGAATTAGCTATTGTGTAATTTTGGCAGTTGTAATTTCTCTTAATCTTTACTATTTACTTATTTATGTTTAAAGTTCATATTGCTTAATAAAAACACACCTCCTATAAAAGGAATAGCAATATATCTTAAT